TCAGGGGCACCCTATTTTTAACATCATTCAGAATACTGTTCTAAAGGACATCATTATCGATTGGAAAGTTACATTAATAAATTTAGCAGACATATTTTCGCATAGTGTCACGAATTCGGTCCATGGACTTCCGTTTACTCACCACCAGAGGTCACCCTTTCCATTACATTGACTCTCGCACAACACAAACTGTTGCATAGCACCCCAGACTACATATCCCATCATTCATTGCACGGTTTGCACACTGCACTGATTGCACTCATTGCACACAGCTGTTTCTTATCACCTCACTCACTATATAACACCCACTCAAACCACCATTCTCTGCTGAGTATTGTTTAGCCTGTACCCCTTTCCGAGTCTCCGTGTTTTCCTTGTTTTGCCTTGCCTGTTTTTGCAGTTTCTGATCTTTTGCCTGTTTTCCTGGATTTTTCCCTCTCGTCTCGCCCCTGTGATTCTGTCTGCCGATCGGTGACCTACGCTAGCCCTAGGACTATTCTTGTGTTTTTGCCCACCATATAGCTGTTTGCCATTGTTCGACCCTGCCTGTTATACCACGTCTCTTTAATAAAAGCTTGCAGATGGATCCACACGTCTCACGTCTCATCAGCCCCGTTACACATAGATTTATTGTATAGGAAGGGAGGGAGCTTGAGCAGACAGCAACACAAAAATATCACAGCCTAATAATGCAATAATGGGTTCAGTATTAGGATTTTTCAAAAAATATGTTGTACTGATTTTGACTTTTAGGCACTTTAGAAAATTGTTTTGATATATTTGTATGAAATACAGGTTTGTTAAATCTCGGTTATGCAAGTCATTTTAAGATAAATAACATTCTGTGATAACAAATTGCAATGAGGTGGTCATTTTGCAACAAGGTGGACACAGTTCTGTTCATAACAGTAGACCTGCTGGTCAAGAAGTGACGGGTACAATAAAAAAAGGGAGAGACAGAGATATTAGGGAAGAAAAAAAAAGTAAAAAGGGAAGTGAATGTGCAGTTCAAGAGACAACCTTTAATTATTTTTCACGGCCCCAGACCAAGGATTTAGACCTTTTTATGTGATGGCCATTTAAATAATAGGGTTATCTGTGGTTTCAGAAGTTGTATTGGGTCAATAGGCTGTATACAGAAAAAAGAGGCCAAAATGGTACCTTTTGGGGTACAACAGCTTGTCACTGGAGCAGTACCCTTAAAAAGGACGTCTTTTTGCCTTTTACCCCTATTAAGTAAATATTAGTACCTTGTTTGTACGAATTACTATAAGGTACTAATATGTACCTATTAGGGGTAAAAAAAAAGGTACAAAGATGTTCTTTTAAGGGTACTGCTCCAGTGACAAGCTGTTATACACGAAAATGTACCATTTTGGCCTCTTTTATTCTGTGTGGCCTGGATGAGTGTGAGATTTCCCGGCCTGAAATTGTGTCCCAGTCCGGCCCTGGATGGACATCTATGCCCATGAAAAGACATCAGCAATCAGGCGCAGAGAAAAGAAAAAGAATGAAAAAAAGGTGAAAACGAAGGCCATGCATCACTTTCCGGCACATTCATAATCCTGTGAAACTTTTTTGGCTGTTGATGTTAATAACATGTTTTAATGTTCGAAATAATTTCACCACCACCAACACATCTAATATTCTCTCTGAGTTTCCATGTTCCCTTAGGAAAATTAGCCATGGTTTTAACACGAATAAAACCAAAAAGCATCGTTCTTGTAGCCATGGTAACCGCAAATTAACCATGGTTTTGTTACTTGAAATAATAATTTACAAAGAAGTATTAAGATAATTTTTTGTGGTTATAAAAACAGACCTAAGCCAACAATAGCCTTTAAAATGGCTTAAAATGCATTATATAAAAACAATGAGGCAATAATGATTGGTTAATAACACTGTTAAAATACATAATGTAGGCTAATACAAAATAAACAATTTATGTACATTACATGTTATTACAAATTCCTGCAAAGGGAGCCAAAGGCCTGGTAATTGCTGCTTCTACACTTGCGACAATCAAATCCTTGATTAGGCTATCGGCCAAACATTTAATTAAAATATTCACTTAATCTTACATTTTTGGCCAGCTTTTTGCTATAGATGACACAGCCTCTATAATTTCTTCAACAAAAAACATGTGGACATCACAACCCTTACAAAACTAAACCATGGTTTTATCGTCGTAAAACTGCTTAATTTTCTTTTGCGTGATTTATGAATGCTTGAGACTATAAAATCAATTAGACAACTGTATTAATAAAGTCATAGCCATAGGTAACTGTCTAGAGCTACATTTGTAATTTGTAAATAATACAATTTATTTATTTATTTACTTTTATATTTTATTAAAGTTTTATTTTGACGGCTATAGGTGTTTTTTTTTTTTACTTCCATAATATTTGAGGAAGGGGGGCACTACAATACAATCCTGCTTAATGGGCACCCATTTGGCCAGAAGCGGCCCTGGATACAACTTTGTATACATATGAAGATGATCCAGGAAAATTGGAATGAGCTACATTTCAATTGAAAAGATTGTGGTTGTACAAATTCCTAAGTTGTATTCTGTGCTGTTCTATTCAAACATGCGTATGTTGGTTTTAAGGAACAAACATCATGCCACTATGGCTTTTATGTGAATGTTTCAGCAGTTATTAAGATTTTTTTTTTAAAACTCAAATCCCCACCACTACTTGTGCTGTAATTTGTTGGCCTTGTCCAAATCCAAATCCAGATCCATTACTCTTCCCTGGCATTCATGTACTACCATCTCCAATGAACTAGATTCATGAAAAATTAGCGGGTGTTTTTTTATTTTTTTTATAATGGAGGCTGCTATCATAAGATTTGTCACCAACAGATGGTGTGCACTGAAAGCCCTCTGAAAGAATAATGCAGCATGCTCCAACGTGATGGGTCAACACAGAACAGTTGGGCCGAGTGGGCCATATGCAGAAGGATGTGGTCCTGCCTGCAGGTGCCAGAAAAGCCATCCTCCCTCTAATCTGACAAATCTTCCTGATTAATACACTGACTTCTTTTTTTTTATTCCAAAGGGCTATAAAACAAGCCTCTTTCTGGGTACCTTCTCTCATACAGTTATGTGCAGCACACAATTATTTGCTATCCTGAGCACTTGCATTTAGCATCTGGGATTTAAGAGTATTTACAAATATCTGAAGTTAAAATTATTTCCAATGTAAAAGCACTGCAATGTTAAAAAGCATTCACCCAAAAAAATCAATTTAGACCCTTAAGAGGCATTTAGAAAATAAAGAGAGTATGTGCAGAGCTACCAAAGCACTAACATTTATATAGAAGGGGTCATGAAATGCAGGTTTTTTTAATATTATGTTTCTCGAGGTTAGTTTAGTTCGCAAAGTTTTTGCACCAGAAATATTTGTAAAAATTATCATTTTAAAAGGGGCATCTTGAAGAAACCTCTTGAAGAAATGCCCACTACTGTGATTTGCTTACAGCATGTTGTGTGATTTGATACTCGAGATGGCAACTGCTGTGACAAAGCTGTATGTTTGAGCCCAAATCAGATCCCGAGGCAGAAGAAATTGAAATGTAACTACAATGATTGCAACAGTCTGTTTCACCATGGCAATTGTTTTCGCTTGCTTCATTTTCGGTTTATAGTTTTAAAAGTACCATTATTATTGTCGTGTTACAAAAGAGACCGCATGTACATACGCAGGTACTGTATGTACTGATTATTTTAGCAACACTCAAACAGTGATATGATTGGTGTCTTAATAGCATTAAATGCTGGTTTGACATTTACTACAAACACTGTAAGATTACCAATAAATACACTTACCTGTGTTGCCTCCAAGGACAAAATGCTTGGCACTGCCATATCTTTCAATAAAAGATGTATTGAAAAACTGGCAGCATGTTTAGAATAATTCACAAAACAGTCCGGTGTGAAATGTGAACAAATTAAAATGTTCTTCTTTCAGTTTTTCAGTCGCTCAGGCACATCACTAAAAATTGTTCAGCGATGCATTTCTAATGCTCGGATCTTTATGAAGGCTATGCAAAGTTTTTGGAGGTGCAGTTTCTTTACATCCACTGACAGAACAACGTCTGATTTTGATAGTCTTACTCGACATCTTTATCCAAACACAGCATGACTCTCCACACTTCCTTGATTACATACAATGATGATGCATGTTAAGGAGCGTGTCAAGGGGAAATCGTGCCGTAACGATTTCAAATCCGGGCATTTCAAAAGGGTAGAAAAAATTATTCATATTTTAAAGTTAGTTAGTTTTGAGTTCTGAAACTTGCAGTATGTTTTTTTTATTGTAGATTAACCTCTTATATGTGTAAATATCAATACCATTTTCATTATCCATTTCATGACCCCTTTAGAAGAGAACATCATGTGGATTTCATTGGATTTCTACACTACGTTCAAACATGGACACAATCTGGTATTACTGTTGGCACGATACCTACAAAGATTATCTGTGTCAGTTATTGCCTGAACTATAATTGAAACTGTAAACAATTCTAAAAGTTTGGCAATTTGTGCTTGGCCAACAACCATATCCCATCAAACACCTTGGGTCATCCTTGGAAACCAGAAGAAAATGGCTGAATAAAATAAACACCGAAGTAAGCACCTTGACAGCCATGTATATCCTTAACTGCCGAGGACCTAATGCAGCTAAAATTTAGCACTGCAAAAAGACACCTTTACATTATTAACCAGCCGTAAATTCAGATGGATCAATAAAGTCTCTTTAGCCACAGGGGCAACCAGTTGATTTACAGGGACAGCTTGGCAGGGATTCTAAAATAATGTCCTACCCTAAATGAAAGCCATAAAGAAAACGTCATCATCATCATCAAATATTTCCTCTTTAGTCTGGTTGATGTCCTTTATGCTGTGATAATGTGAGGTTTTCATATGCTTTAAGAGGGACAAGTCTCAATTATAAGAAAGAAAAGGCCTATTCTGAAATATTCAGTGCCCGTACCAACACGTTGGCTGTCTTTCCTGATGCTCTCGTTGTCATGCCAGTCTCTTCTTCTCAAACCGTCTGTCCAGGTATAAATGTGTACTTCATTTAAGCCCAATGGGAAGCCCTGTGGAGAAAGAAACTTTTTAAAGTGAGATATACAGAAAAGATATTTAGATAAACTTAAGTTAAATCAAGTTAGATCTCAAATAAAAATACAATAAAAAACAACAGCAAAAGCATCATTCTTAGAGGTAATTTAACTTCACTTTGAAACATTTCTAAGAATTCCCTAAGGTAACTTGTTCATGCCTAAATTGTCCTATAATGCAATGATTAAAACTTCAAACATAGCTGTTGTTTGAACAGACATTCAACTGGCTGAAATCAGTGTAGCCAGCAACTTAAATAACCAAAAAGCTTTCCAATCTGATCCGTAAACATTATACTGAATATTTAAGCCATAGGCAAAATTTTCCTTTAGATTTGATCAGCTGCATGAAAAATAATAGTGTACTTGTGTGTCTGTGTTGTGCGGGGTGCAGCCCTTAATCTTTTGAGTACTTGCACGCACACGGTGCATATTTGCCTTCCTGGTTGGACATCCATCTAGAATTGGTGCCAACCATCAATTCCATCATGCCAGCACAGCATGTCACATTTTTTTCCTTGTGGATTCTTCTAATTTGGGAACAAAAAAGCATCTCAAAATGACCACGTAGAGCGGTAAAATGTGTGCAGTAGACCGAGCTTGTTTAAGTGTAGCAATGTGCTCCTCTGTTGTACCGACGCCTCTTCTATTTGCGCAATAGGCATTTACAGGGTGTAAAAAGTGGAGCACTAGAAGGTCTAAGAGGCCCCATTTGATCTACAATTTACCTATTCTCACAGACAGAGCCCTGATAACAGCTCTTTTCACTGGCAGCAGGTGCTAATGCACTGGGGATGCACTAGAACAAATGGTTTTGATGAAAGCTCAGAGAGATGGATTCAGGAAGCCATGCTTCCGACATACATGCAGAATAAGTCTCCATGCCTTTTAGAGCTTTGTCTTTGCGCAAGCTTCACCATGGAAATGCTTCAGGTAAGCAAATTAGGAAAAGGAAAAGACAGAGACTATTCACTCAAAATTAATCCGGCGAAAAAGACACAGAGATTTTTAGGGAAATGATTTAGAGTGCTACTTAGCAGAGTGGATTATGGGAGGCAGGTGCTTGGATTCCAGTAGCAGCTCTGAGGATTTGGGCGGCTTTTTTCACTGTGTTTGTGAATAATTTAAAAACAAAAGCATTGCTTTATTAAGGCCTCAGAGAGTTTCTGGGGGAAAAATTAAGAACACAAGCACATCGGAGTTTGTCAAAGGGGAATTTCACTAGAAGAATGTGACATCGACTTGACAGTCGCAAAAAAGAGAACTGCTGGCAGCAATGTTGGATATCACTCTCCCATAGGGACGCAGAGGCTTCTGATGGTAAGACTTTGTGGCAGAGCACAGGTGGAGCTTGCCGAGGTTATTAATGTAGTGCTTGACTTGAGTTTGCTGTGAGTCATTTACATGTAGGACTTGTCCCAAATGACACCCTCAGTAAATGGTGAATCAATGCAGCATAAGCTGTCAGATTGTAGTCTTCAAGAAAATACAAGACTGCATGATATTAACAATATGTGCTAATAATGTTTTAGAAAAAAAAATGATTTCAAATAAATCAATCATAGTCAACAGTTTCTGGGATTGAACTAATCCCTGGGACTAAAATTAGATGGCATTTTAGTCAGAGTAAAATGTATAAATATGACAAAAGGCTGACTAAGCATACTAAAACAAGGACTGTGGGGAAAAAAGTGTAAATTTTATTTTACTGAAAATAACTGTGCCTTTTGATAAAGGGTCACTCACACCTGTACGGAATGGGACAAAATGGTCACATAATTGTTTAACACTTAAGTCAGCATGAAAACACTGATGTGGCATTGTCACCTACATGCATGGCATGTTTAACTGCATTATCAGCTGAAGCTATTGAATCAACTGATTAAAGTTGTTTTTTGAGAAGAGCTACAATTGACAGATGTACGCATATAGTAAGAATATGGCTAAAACCCAAGAAAAACTGAAACACTCAAACCCACAGGGCTTCGATTTTGCAAAGCCGAAGCACTATTTATTTCTCCGTGTCTTGTATATAACTCACTCTTACAAAACAACAGTATTCAGTTACATTCTTCATTTATGATGGCCTACATCTGGGGCTGAAGGAAGTTGTCTGTCCTCAAGAACTAGACATATTAAAAAGAAAAAAGACATTGGATGTAGAAAAAGCAGAGCAGTCCAGTGTTTCTAATTTTCTTCTTGTGTTCCAGAACAGTGAGGTTAGCAGCAATTTACCAGACACAGAAGAGCTTTGAAAAGAAGGTGTTTTAGACTTTAGTCTGTCATCAAGCCCTGCTTTCCTCACATTGATTACAGTAAATTTAGCAATTACTGACTCAGTCCAGACTGGAGTGGGGTGGCTCACGGCACAGTGTGCTGCCTAATTAAAAGTGGTCAACAAAGCGCAGTGGTGGATGCCGCTTTCAAAAGCGTCACTGCCTTCAATATCCAAATCATATGGCTGCTCTAAAACTGAATCATGTAGGAGGAGTGTCACTGTTCCCCCAGTACAAAGACAAATCAAACCAAAGACACAGGGAAAAGATAACAGAGTAGATATGTAGCCAACATAAAGAATATAGCATGCAAAAAAATATAAATAAATAAACACATATTTTAATATTATTTTTATGTCAATTATATTAAACCAGTAGAAAAAGCAATGAGTAGGGTTCTGTTCACCGTATTAAAAGACTGTTTACTTTGGATATATTGCTGTATTAAAAGTTAAGAATGCAGGACATTTGTTTTTCTATTTCTCAGGATGTGAAATGCTGAAAAAAAGTGTAAGTGACAATAACGGAAAGGCATCTGTCTGCTACATACATGGACCAAAAATTTAAAAACAGTACAGACTGAACATAACAACACGTCCTTCCTGAATGAAAATAAATTCCTCAAAATAATTTATTTAGTGTTCCACAGAATGTTTGAACAACATGAGAGTAAATTATGACAGAATATTGATTTTTGTGTGAACTATCACTTTAATAACCACATTTGGACAAGTAATAAGGCTACCACTGTAACACTTCTGTTTTGTTTCATGGACTTTTAGTTGTGTTTCCTGGTTGTCTTATGTTTTGTTCACGTTTCCTATGTTCCCACCCCTCATTTGTTTCCATAGTCGCTGATTACGTTGCACACCTGTTACTAGTTTTGTTCTAATTACTTTGTGTATATCTTGCCCTCGTTTTGCTCAGTTCCTTGTCTTGTGTTGTTTGTACTGTCACATGTTTTCTCCTGCAAAAATCGGTGTACTTGGATTATCTTTGTTTTTGTTATTACTAATAAAGATACACTGCATTTAAATTCTGCCTACTTGTTTCCCTGACCTCTCTGTGACAACGACATTACCAAATGAAAAGTTAACTTGAACCCTGAATTGTTCTGACCTGCAGCTGTCATCCTGATACTGAGACACAGTGAATATGGTGAATATGCCATTTAAACAAAAGGTATGGTTATTGAAGGTGCAATTGTCTGAAAGAGGCTTGAGGAGAAACTGAATGGAAGATGGTACAAACAATGAATGAAGTATAAAGGAAAACGAATGTAGTCAATTAGTATGAATAAACTTGTGTCATCAAAGAACTACTTAAATCTGAACATAATGGCCATAGTGATTTGACTCTTTCAGAAACGTTACATTCAAACTCTGTCTGTAAGTGAGGGGTGCAAGGTAAAAGCCTTTTTTTTTCAACCCCACATTTGGCAAGCTTGTTCACCCTGCAATTCTCTGCTGTTTTTCTCCTCTCTTCCTCACCGCCCTTTCTCTTTTTTCTACAGATAAGCAAGCAGATGTTTTATACACTGCCAGCACCACTATCTAATTATGTCGTTTAGCAGTGCTGTCCAAAATCCCCATTGCCGGAGCTATTTTTCCACAGCTTCCTCCTCAGAGCTGGTTTTCAATGTCCTGAGTTCTTTCTGTCAGCCGCCGCTCCTCTACTGGCATTGTGATAGCTGGTGCTTTATGCGCTTTGTTTGATAAATATAATTATTCTCTGTGTGGCCTACAGTAGGCATCAGCAGTGGTGAGACTGAACTAAGCGAGGTTCCATAAACAGGCACTGCAAATGAGGACAAGGACTGTTTAAATAAGCCTTTGTGTAGCTGTCAGGAGCTATTCGATCAAGCTGGCTGACATTTGTAAGTGAATGTGTGTATGTATTGGTGTCAGAAGGCCAGGCATCTAAACATCACATTAAGTCAAGACATGAATCTAAGTGACATGAAACAGCGTCAAAGTAACACGTTCTGTGATGCACTGGGAATTCACTTCTCCAAGGTTGTTTCTAAGGAATGAGAACTGTGACAAAAGAAGAACTATCAATGTAAAAACACTGGATGTCCACTGCATGATACATCATTATCTCAGAATATGGGATCATCTCCAGTAGGTGCAGCTAATGAGAACATCTGCACATCAGAGCATTGCATCACATCACAAATGGAACATAGCGCCGACTGCGACCGTTCGACCTGTGATGAGTTCAAACGATAGAAGGAAAAAGACACGTCCAGTGGAGCAGGAACCATTGTGTTCTGATCAAGCACATCATTTGCCCTGTGTCTGCCGCAAGAGATCAGAGAGCCCATCTTGTGCACCTGTGAAATAAATAAGCCCCATGACAATGATACACACAAAGGTGGGAAAAATGGAAATGCCTGTTGAATCTGACATCAGATCTGTGGCCGGGCGCATTAACCTCTTAGGCTAGTCTTAAAAAGTTAGTCATATATTCTTTTTTTCTTCTTACTGGTCATAACTTTTTTAAGTCAGTGACAAAAAGGTAGATCCAAAAAAGTAAGATGGATTACCTCTTGGTTAACTGCTAGTTGGTCAAACTAGTACTTAAGAGACAGTCTTAACATTGTGACTGTTTATGCAACTGGCCCCTGTTTAGTCATAAATAGGTCATGAGCAGTAGAACAGGTTGAATCATGTCAGTCTGTAAGAGGGGCCGGGAGAA